AGACGGGCGCGCTACCGCTTGAGCCACATCCCCAGCCCCCTACAATTACTTTTTGAGCCACACATCTATTTCTCAAACATTACATGCTGTCCTCATATCTTTAGTTTTGGAGAGGCAAAGCCTCAGACCTGTGTCAAAGAAAGTGAAGTTTTCCAGCGATAAAAATTGCCATTGAAAATTCACATTGTGAGGGCTGGGGTTGTGGCTTAGTGGTAGAGCCCTCGCCCAGCATGCCCAAGGTCCTGGGTTCGATTCTCAACCACATAAAAATAAATAAACAAAATAAAGGTATTGTGTCTAACCAAAAAATAAATATTAAGAAAAAAGAAAATTCACATTGTGAATGGTAATGGAAGCGACTAATTTGGCAGAGATTGGGTTTTTCTGGTAGGTGGCGGTGTGGAGTAGTTGGGATGGAGATGGCAGTCCTGGTCATTAGCATCAAACATAGCTAAAGCATATTAGTTTTCTTTGAAGCCAAACTGATTGCACACCGACTTGTCTGAGCTTGAATAAGGAATGAATTCGGGATTCTGGAGCCTAATCACTTAGAAGCAAAGACTTTTCCCTTATAACTTTTTACAACATAAGTAAACCCAACCTTGACTAGGCAAGATTGCTGGCTGGGTTTGCCTGTGGAAGGCAAATCAGTAGGCTTAATTTGAGTTTTTGGATTTTGGAAGTCCATGTAACCATCCTTCCCGGTTTTGAAGGAGAGTAGAACTTTGACAGCATTTGAGCAGAGGCTTTCAGAGATAAAGGAAATGGGCAGGGTGGGGGTACTTTGCTCACAGTCTGTTGCTGTACAGCCAAATGGCTACTGAAGATCACTTCATCTTTAACCTTGTCGTTTTGTAGATGAGGAAACTGAGGTACACGGGTTAAATTGGTGAGGTAGGCGACTGATTCAAAGTTCCAATTTACCCCATTTCTATTTCATATAGATTGTTCATTTCCTTTTCTTCTTGCATACCCAGAGAACTTGGGTGCAGCATCCTAATGCCCGGTCAGCATGATTCCTTCAGTTTTTTCCACGTTTCTCTCCCACAGAAGGCTGAAGCAGGCTTGTCTCCCATCTGCGGTTCTGTGCTTTGTGAGCAGTAGTCCCACACCCTAGTGGGGAGGAGGCCATAGAAGAGCAATCCCTGAGGCGAGAGCAGAGGAACGGGGCGGGGCAGCTTGAGACGTGCTTGAGTGTGTTCAGGGAGGGGCAGCCCCAGAAAGCCCATCAGGTATAGTCCAGCCTCCTCTCTCAAGGACACGCTGGGCGGTGGGAGGCAGAGCAGGAAGGGCGCAGGGGCTGGGGCTGGCGCCCCTGTGTCCCGCTCACTCCGCTCTCGTACTAAAAAGATTGGTGGTAACGCCCTGCCGATTCCTTCCAGGAGCCCCCTTCGTGGGACTGCTCCTGTGGAGGACCAGTACCAGCCCTGGGAGGGTGTTGGACACATGTACGTGACCCCGCGGTGCACACCGACGACCCGCCCCGCCCGTGACGTGCTCGAGTGGGGCCTCCGCCCCATCCCCCCCGCCAGCGCGTTCCCCTCTGCGCTGCCTCCGCCGTTCCCCGCCCCTTGGGCTCTGGGGTTGCCCTGGTCGCTGCCTGACCCAAGGCCCGGCAGCTTCCGCTCTCCCGGCCCCTGCC